GTGTGTGTGTGTGTGTGTGTGTGTGTGTGTGTGTGTGTGTGTGTGTGTGTGTGAAAAGTACTCCGGTGTGAAGCGCCTAATGTTTCACAATCACAACCTTTTGTGAACGCCGAGTGGCTGTTTTGACATCACAGAATAGTTGGGGTATTCAAACATTTAAAATAAACGTAATATCATTCAGAAATACGTCATGATATTATTTAATAAATATGTTGTCGAACCACAATACATGGATGAGGTAACCGAGACATATAGTAACTTTGAAACTTTTGTTCGTAATCATCAGTTTGTGTGATTACTTTGGGATTGAATTCCTCTTAACCACATAATAAATGGGTTGTTAAATTATATATTTTTTTACATTTAATTAGTGAGATAGTTCAGCTAGGACCAAGCTCTAAAACCCAGAGGAAATGACATAATTGGTCATCAATTTGTGTAGTTACCCTAGGAATTCATCTTGTATGTAAACTACATTCAACAGCCTTAGCTAAGTATAAGCATTCTGCGCAAAACATACAAGAGAGGGCAAGAAAGAAACAGTGCAACAAAAAGCTGTCTCTAAATCAAGCCAGAAGATGGACCTCGAGTTGAGATTGTTTTTCTTTCGGTTTCATTCTCTGTGGTCAGTGCTGGCAGAAAGGAAGGGTTCGAGCGTGAACGCCTCTCTGCTCGTCGGACAGGGAGACGCCTCGTTGACTCTGTCCCGGCTGAAGGCGCTGGACGAGGGGACGTACATCTGCACCGTCACCCTCGGGCCTTTCAACGCCCAGCAGGTCATCCAGCTGCACATCACTCGTAAGTTTAAACTCAGACCAGACTCAGTTTTATCCCACAAGGCAAGTTATACTGTGCAATATGATGCAGTACCATAGTGTATACCAGTCAAAAGATACAAGGACTGTACTTAAGCTTTGAGATGATTTCCATTTCAGTTGTAGTTTATACTTTATTCTTATTATTTATATAGCACCTTTCAACACAAGGCAATTCAAAGTTCTTTACAAACATGAAAGACATTTATTATAAAATGGCCTTTAAAAGCACTCCTTTAAAAGCAAAGATAATAAATCATGAATAACAAAGGGACATGAATAAAGTGACAGAGCAGAGTGAGATACACACATCTGAAATGTTTAGCTCTGACTCACTCTTTAGCAGAAATAGTTTTCTATGAGCTCACTTTCTTTCTACTTTAATGTCTTAATGTACATTATTTAATTTCATATTCTGTTCTTGTATCATATTCTATTCACATGTATAAAGACTTCTTGCACTACTTTTTATTTGTATTTTATTTTACATGTTGCATTGTTGGAGGAGCTCAGGTCAGAAGAATATTATTTCCGTAGCTTTGTGCATCAGACAATAAAACCTTTGAATCTTTGAAAGTATATCAATTAATTCTGTTCTTTGTTTTCAGAACCTCCTGAGGTTTCCCTCTCAGAGGAGAAGTTTGTTTTGAAGACGGACTCGCCCCAGACGCTGAGCTGCCACTGCTCTAAATATTATCCACTGGATGCTCAGGTCTGTCACTAGAAGTTATAACAATTCAATGTTTTCGATTATTGCTTGGATGCTTTTTAACCATTGTACTGTGTTAATATTAACTTTACACACGTCTCTTTAGCGCTATGAATGTCACGTTCCTGTGTGACGATTGCACTGAAAAACTCTGTTTCAGGCTCTTCAATCACTTCTAAAATCCTCACTTCTTTAGAACTACTTTTCTGTCAATTTATGTATGTCAAATTTCATTTTTTGCATTTTACACTCTTTGTTTCATTGTGTGTTATGTCTCTGGCTTTTATTTAGTTCCCTTTGTGCTTTAAATAGCCGCTTTCACAGCAAGTACTTTGCCGTACTTAGTTCCCAGCACTTAGTACCCCCATGGAACTAAAGAGCCGATCGCGTTCACACCGGAATAAGTTCCTGAGGAAAGATTACGCAAATGAGGCCGCTGACGTCACTTCTTCTTCTTCTTCTACGTTGGGTTTACTGGCAGGCTGCAAACAACTTCACGGCGTATACTGCCACCCGGAGACCCTGGCCGGAAGTCCCCGGAGTTAGGGACTGGCTTCAGTAGAAGCTGCTGGGACTCCCAGCAGCTTCTACTGAAGCCTTCCGAGTAAATCGTCAGAACGCCGACACCTCCTCATCTCCACCGCTCCCATGTTTTATTTTGTGTTGCCATAAGTTAGTCTCTCTGCGCTGGTGCACTGGGCTAATGCTAATGCTAATAATGCTAATGCCAGCAAATAAAATGGCGGCTTCAGAAAACTTTTCCGAGTTTTACGGGGCGTGGTTTGCAATCCGCCCAGCCAATCAGAAATTTGAACTTTTTTCTCCCAGGAAAGTACCACCTCTCTAGCAGGGACTGAAAAGGGGGGAAAAGTTCTCATGAACTAAGTTCTCTTTTTGGTGTGAACGCAAAATCCCAGGAACTATCGGAACTAAAAGGGAAAAGTACTCAGGTGTGAAAGCGCCTATTATGTTCTATTTTCTTATTGTTAAGCACTAAATGTGCTCTATTAATTCAGTCTCTTATTATTAAGATTATAGCACAGTTTGATTGATTGATTGACAGGCCATCTCACTGTCCCCCCTCCTCTCAGATGGAGTGGTGGTCCCTCTCTCCTGAGGACTCAGAGCCCAAACTGCTCCTGGATCAGGGCTCTCTCTCCAGCCACCGGCAGCACGGAGACGGTTCCTACTCCCTGTCCTCTCACCTGTCTGTCCCCTCCAGCGTCTCCCCGGGGACCAGGCTCACCTGCAGGGTGTCCCACCAGGCCCTGGACGCCCCTGTGTCTCTCACTGTTGTGGTAGAAAGTCCAACACAAGGTAATAATGTGTGGCTGTTGCTGTGATGTTGTTTAAAGTTAATAAGAGAAACTTTGACAGAAGCAGTAATGTTTCAGAAACCCTCTTGTTTTACAGCAGCAGGGTTTAAGACACCCTGGTTCTCAACTACAGTTTTTCACTTGACCATCAGTACATTTCCATTCAAATGACACAAAACCAATATTATTTTCCAAACCTCCATGTTAACTTAAAACAATTTAGCAATTTGGCATCAATAAAGTATGACTAATCTTGTCTTATTTAATATAAGTTTAAAATATTATGTATAAATGTCATGATCATAGCTGTATTTTTTTTAATAGCTTCAAAGTCATGTGACCCAGTGACTCCAAATCCATACCAGATAATATTACTACACCAAACAAATAGGGCAACAACACATGGAGACAATTAGAAGTTTAATTGAACTTTTCCTTGATTTAAATATGATGAAATATAACACACCTCCTTTTTGGGTAATTGTAAGTGTTTTTATGACTAATGGTCATCTTTACTTGTCCTACCCCAACCCTCCCTTATATTGTAAAGCCACTTTGATTCCTAGAAAAGCGCAATTCAAATATGATGTATAATCATTATTATTGCATTGAAGTCCAGTCTATATTTGATCAGAAAGTGTATCATCGAATATGTTATGTCTTGAGAGTTGCTATACATTACATACTGTGTGTATCTCCTCTCTTCAGGCTCCTACTGGTGGGTCCTGGGTTTCCTGATCATCAGCGTGCTGTTCTTCCACCAGGTCATGACATAAATAAGGATTTATTCTAATAGATAATCCTGACTTTAAACTGAGCCCAGAGAGATTTCCTGTTGTGAGTCTGTAAGTTATTATTAATGTTATAAGAAGAAATCACTGGTTCTTTCCACTCGAGGGGTGAGACTTTCTTTTTGGATATAGTATTCCTGCTTTTGCACTATTTCTTTTTAATTTGGTACTTTTAATTGCTTGATTTTCCATTTTGTTTCTCTTTTTGTAATGTACTTTTCACAATGAAGGGTTATGTGACTCAACCAGATTGATTGAGGTGTTTGACATGATCATCTTCAGTACATTTCTAGTGTGATATCTGTGAGCTTTGTAAGTAAACGGGCATCACTAGGAGTATATTGTGAAAGAAAACATTTTCCAACCAGGTCTAAAATGTCTCGACGTGTCAGGAGAATAAAACAAAGTTCAGTTGTGTTGATGATTTATTTATTGGCATCAGCAAAAGTGGTAAGCATGCATTTTGTTTTTCAGTTGCATCTTCTTACTGCATTTCCCGGTTTTAAATCCCAAAACATGTTCTCTTATCTCCCGTGGTAACAACAACCTGATAACATCGCTGCACAATATCATCAGATAATTACAACTAACTGCTACATTATGCATCTTCACTCTCACAATTAGCTTTTACTTTTATATCCCCCCATAAAACCTGAAGAGTTCATAAACACATGTTCAGGAGAATAATCTGACATGTGTGCTAATAATCAATCCATACAATACTACATGGTTTTTTACAGCTCACTATAGAAGCAGTTGTTTGCAGTCTGAGAATATAATTTTGAAAGTGAAATTAATCAAATGTTGGCAAACTCTTGAGCATCATTGCATTGCATAAGCGTTATTTTTTTAAGATCAGAAAGACATATACACAGGTCGTTTAAACCACTAACAAAATAAAATGTACAATCGGCAGTTAGGTTCAGAAATGGCAGATACACAGATCACACAAAAAGGCAAAACTATGGACACGGTTTGCCATGCAAATTAGAAACAAACACGTCATGTTGCATTTCTGCAGGTGAGTCTGTTTTTTAAGTGAGTGGGGGCGGGAGGTGGGTTTCTAAATCATGTCCTTTTCCCCCGTTTCCCTGCTTTTTCAACATCAAACTAACTTATTATTTCTGCACAACTCGTAAAAAAGTTGGCTTTTATACCAGTTTTCTTTTTTTAAATGTGACGCTTCACATCCACCTGTCTATGGCTGTGTCCAAGTCAGAGTAAAGAGTCCTCCTTCAGTTCATGTGTACAGTAGATTGTCTGTTTTGGATAGTTGTGCATATCAATATGCCACTTAGCATAACAATAACACAATGCCCCCACCTGTGGTACTAAAACCAAGGTCAAAGGAAGCATAGTTATGCAAGTCTCTTATCAATAATTGCTTATGTGTCCAGAAATTGAAATCCAGATGTTGCTTTTTCAAAAGAGGGAAACATTCTTTCTACTTTCCCCTAAATAACTTTTTTACATTTGTCCTCTTATCATAATTACTGAATGTTGCAGAAAGGAAACCAATACAACCAGCTATCTCCAAAAAACACTACTTGCTACAATACTTTGGATCACAAACACACACACACACACACACACACACACAACAAAAATGCTTTTCTAATCTTAATCTATCATGACCGTGTGTTAGTAAGTAGGGATGAAGGGAGCTTGTGAGAGAAGCGGTCTGTTAGTATCAACTTACAAATGTAGGAACGTCCAAAAAAGGTAATATGAACAAGCTTTGGCGTATATCTGGGGTCGAAAGGACTGCAAACTGTTCAATCTCCCTGCACACACTCACCGCCTGCACATGGTACACCCCCCCTCTCAGTACGACCCCTCT